AGAGAGCCTTGGGCTTCCGGTGGAGTTTCGGACCTTTGGGCCCTAATTGTTTGGTCCTGGACTTGTTGTATTTGTGGACCTGAATTTATTATTTGAGCCATTGTTGGCATGTTGGGCCTTTTGGGCGTTATGGCCCAATATAGAATTGGATTTTGATGTTTGGCCCATTAGTTAAGGAAAGGCCTTTGGGCCATTATGAAGGGACTTAGACTTAGGATTTTGGGCCCATGTCTAGGTTGTGTCATAATCCTAATTAGGGTTATTTGTATATTGTTCAGTGTGAGATTTTGGGCTAGTAGTCGAGCAACTATTGTGTTCAGCAGACTGAGGTGAGTCTTCTCATTATACCAATGGGTCGAAGGCTCCAATCTCTGCCCATTACTTGATATGAGGTTTCGGTAGTTGAATATGCAATAGTTTTGTTATTTGGCATGTTATGACTTATGTGAAGACCATGGGGGAGCCCATGTCAATGGATGTAAATGGATGTAAGACCATGGGGGTAGCCCACGATATTCCAAATGAAAACCATAAAGGGAGTCTATGGCAATCCTATGTATATATGTTGCATGGCATTATGTGGTTATATGTTTTGTGTATTTTGGGAAAACTCACTAAGCGTGTGCTTACAGTTTTGTTGGGTGTTTCAGGTACTTCTGGTTCTAAGGGCAAGGGTTCGGCTTGATGGCGCATCATGCACTCTCCAGTATTTCCGCACTTATTGTTTTGGATACTCTGATCTTTTGGACATGAGTTTATGTAATGAAATTTTGGAAAAAAAATATGGTTGTAATTTTCCATATATCTCTACATTTTAATTAATTAAAAAATATATATTTTATTTTAATAAAATAAAAAAATAAAATGAATATAGTGGTGGGTATCCCAAACTTTTAGTGGTTGAATGTGGTGATGAGTTGACACCCACCATTATAGTGGTTAATGGTGGGTATAACGGATGGTCTTAAAGTAATTCGTTTTGAAAGATGTTTCACCATTTTCCATCACTAACATCTAACTTTCATTTATAAAATTTACCATTTCACCATTTTCCATCACTAACAACTACGATTATAATGAAAGATTTCAACAAATTAATATAACTTTCTAACTAATAACTACTTTCAAGATTTACCAAAAAAAAAAACCTTTTGATTTCAATAAGTAAAAAGAAGTAATAACTAAGCAATAACCAAGTTCTAACCCTAATCAAATAAACCTAATTGCTAGTTTATAGTTTTTTCAAAGTTTTTAAGAAGATAAAAAAATCATAAAAATGAACCTAAACACTTGCTTAAGACTGGTAGGTCCGACATTATTAAGAAAAAGAAGAAAAACGGCGTGAAAGGAGGTGATTGTGGTAACGGGAAGTAACACGCAGGAGTATAACGCCTAATAACGGGGAAAGGGGGCGGTGTTTGCGTGTTATAATGCCCCCTTGGGGAGTTGCCTATACCGAGCAGACTAAATGCATGCTTACTTGTTTCATTCTTACAGGTGGAATGGAAAGTCGTTGGAGCTGTGGTATTTCGGGACGTCTGCAGTGGCAGTGAGAGCTATTGGGCAATTCTTTCCAAACTTTTTTTTCTATTTGGGTTATTTTATCGATGGTGTTATAGCCTAGGTATGGATTATTTTTTTGGTCTAAAAAACTTAAAGAATAACATAATTATTTTTCAGTATATGCATCTAGTAACAAGAAAAAAACCAAAATTTTTACTACCATTCGTAAAAATTTAAAAGAAAATTTTGGAAGGTAGCACGGGTAAGAAGTCAAAGATATGGCACCGACTTTCTTTCCCAGTGACGCTTCAAACATTGACAATGGCGCTGCTCTTCGGAGTCCTATAACGAAACGAAACCATGATCTCTCTACAGCACTCTGTCTCTATCACGAACAACTATCACCGGAGATCTATAACAGTCACCGGAAAAACAACTAGAACCATCCATCGACTCCTCCTTCTTTCATGTGTGCCATTTACCGGAGACCCTTCCATCCTGTCGCACTCTTTCTAAAGACGGCGCTTCTCAAAGAAATACTCCCTAACCCTAAATTCCTAATCGTAATGTATGTCTGTATATAAGGCAAAGAGGTGACTTTTGTGACAAATATCTTCTCTACAGTCGATTGTATCTAAGACTGCAGGGTATGTTTGATCTGTAAGATCTAAAAATAGTTTATCGGTATTCTTAGGAGCTGAATTGACTAATGGGCAAAGAGATGTGTTGGTTGTAGTTCGAGAAACTCTACCAGAAGCTAAAAAGATGAAGCAAATTCATACTTCTATTTATAATAACTAGCAGGAATTACCCGCGCCGTTGGCGCCGGGTTGGATCAGGTTTGGTTAAATGTTGATAAATTTCTACTTTGTGTACAATTAAAAGAAAGTTTTTTTTCTTTGTAAGCATAAAATAGAAATCATACATCATGCTTGAGTTATAGTCATATAACATGAGTTGTTAAGAAGCAAATTAATTACATGATTGAGCGGGAGTCGTTGGAACAGATGATGGAATGGAATGCGTCATGAATGGTATTGGGATTGGAGGTGGAGAGGGTGTAAAAAAGAAAGGGGTTTGAAAAGATTAATGATACTATACTGCTATTGTTGTTGACCTGGTCTCGACTTTCGTGCAGTGGCATTCCGATTCCGAATGTTGATAAAGAAAAGGAGGGGAATTGATGTACGTAACTGAGTTCGATGGATGGTGTCCTGGATTCAAAGCAGCCTGCAAAATAAAAATTAGTTAATAACTTATAAAAAAAGAGGGAAAATTACAGAAAAAAAAGCGCTTTAAGAAATAGCAACGTTCTTTAATTTATTTGTTCATTATAATTCTACTCTCATTTTTACTTATTACACAACTGTACTTACAAAAATCTACCGAAACAGACAATGTCATGGAAAACAAAGCAATCTTGATTACAAGAAATAGCAATGTACTTTCACTTATTAGTTAATTATAGGATCTTACTTATATTTCTTCCTAAAATTGGTAGGTTTTTTGAAGTAACCAACAATAACACCCACATTCCAAGAAATTATTTATCTAGAGACCTAATATGCTGACAGCAGGAAGGCTATCCTACAATTGACTAAAAAAATTTCAAGATACCATTACTTGAAGAAGCAAAGCATCAGATCCATCAACTACTATTGCAAATCCAATCTCCTGTCAATCTCCCATACCAAGAAACCATCTGTCTCTTTCCAGGTGTAGTTCAAATTTTGCAAACACAGTAGGTAAGACTTTTTGGCATATTTAGCTCTTTCAAAATACATACAAATATACTTGTCTCTTTCTTCTTTATTGATTCTTTTTTTTATTCCTCTCTTCAGTTGCCATCTTTTCCTTTTCCATCCCTCATCAAAGAAATCAAGATCATCGACATCTTCAAAAAAAATCAAAAAGATGATAAGCACAACAAATCTAACATTTTGCAAATATGTAGGATCATGACAAAGTTAACAACTTCATCACTTTTTGTAGAGCAACAGATGGACCATCTTAAGCAGCAAAACAATGTCGGACCAGGAGTAACAATCACAAATGGAGAACAACTTTGATTTAAGACTTCAATCGATCAAGGATTTAAATCAATAGTAGAAGAGGGACCTTACCTGAGTTCGACGACTTCTAACAGCATATGGAGATCAGAAATTGGAAAGCAACGGAAGAAAGACCAGAAAATTAGAACAGTCTAAATACAGTAGGTGGTGGAGGACGAAAACTGTAAGCAGGTTATTGGAGGGCGTGTGTGCAGTGGCAGCGGTGGACGTAATAACGATGTAGCAAAGGTGGAGACAACATATTAGGTTGTGGGGTTTCTCTGGTGTTCAATGGAGGGAAAGGTCGAATAAGGGTTTAGGGAGGCGGCGTTGAAAATACGTCTCTGTGACTGCCGATGAATCGTAAGAATCGTGGCGGTGGCTGAGACCGGTGGTGGCAATGACGTTGAATCGTCGGCGTCACAAGCTTTGGCGCAGTGATGGGAGATTAAGGGGTATGGGAATGATATAGAAGATTGCAGGGCTTTGAATGTAACATCGGGGGGTTTTTTGTTGAAGAAGAGGACGTAGGTGAAAGGCGGTGGCAATTGGTTAAAGAAGGCGGTCACGGGTCATCGAATGATTTTCCAAATGGTCATAGGGACGAAAAGACAAAGCGTAAAACTTTTGCGGTGAAATTGTGAATCCAAATACTTATGTGGCAGAATTCCAAATCACAGGTTCCTGTTCACCAGAATTAATATGTATATAATGAAACAAAACAATTTCAGAGCTGATTACGAATCTTCATTTTGTTTTTAAACTAAAGTAACAATAATAGTCCCTGAGGAACCTAACCCTCCATGGAATGTCCCCTGTGAAATCAAAAATCTTCCTCTCCTAACCCTGAAGAACTTGACCCTCCATGGAATGTAATTTCTGCACTATGAAACCTACCCTTTTTTTTTTGAAACGGCAAATCTAACGTACTCCTAAACTACACCTTAAATTCACATATGTCCACGACGGGACTTGAACCCTCAACCTCAAGGAGGGGGGCAACACTGGATACCGCTGTGTTCCTAAGTGTGAAATGGTGATTGTTCCACGTGAATGCCTTGTTAATCTGTCGATCACTCAGTCAATAAATATACTTGATGTCGGGTTTGATCGATATTCGGGCTTGTCAATCTTGTTTAAGAAACACAGGATTTCTTAATTGTCATTTTTCACTAAATATTTGAAAAGAATTTAACTTGAGATTGATTACATATATGACAACTATTATCTCTATGAAAAAATTTAACAATTGGTAAAAGAAAATCAGCTTTTTTTTTTTGCGTTTTACATTAGGCATAGACACATGAATTTCATTTCGCAACTAGGTATTTATAACATCTATAAATAATGTTTATATTTTTCAGACATTAATTCCATCATTAACTTATAAATTTCATAAGCTCCAATGGCAACATCGACGTAGCCACAAAAAACAAACATAAAACCACAACCACTATCCTAAACATCCATCCCCAATTCATCCATCATAAACAAAATGGAAATTTGCATACTACAAAAAAGAAGTCATTCATGTCCACTGAATCAATTAAGACCTTCACAAGTCACGTATAATACAATAACTAAACTCACTCGGTCCCAATCCTAACCAGAACACCTCTCTCTATATATATCAAAAGTAGAACATGCAAAATAGCAAAAACCAAATTTAAAAATAAAAACATTAAAAAACAGCATCATTGTGATTGATTACTCCAAATCTAGCTCTAACCACTACACCCTTTGTGCACTTACCTAATCCCAAAACATTTTTCTTTCACCCTTTTTTCAGCAATTATTCCAACAATCAACCCAATCTGCAATTATTCCAACATCATGTCAATACAAAAAACATAATCAATAATAATATAAACAAGAACACAAAAATCTTACTCCTCACATTTCGTTCATCAAGTGATTGCACTTCTGTCGTGTATACCAACTCCACAGAACTTTGAATGTTGAAAATGGTAACAAAAGTAGGTTTTGCTAATATGATGTATCCCGAGGCTGATAATACCCAAGAAGTTTACAGATAACAGGAACAAACGCAACCAATGCAATCTGAAGCTGTTCAGAGCTATTCAATCTCACACTAACTTGTCCCGACCCTTTATTATTCAAATTCACACGACCGATTAAATTTGTGAACCGGCCAATAGGAATTTGAGTCTGCCCGTTCCATCCAATCGCAAGATCCCCATGCCAATCCATAACCGAAACCCCAACAGTTGACAAAAATCGACCCAACGGGTGATCCTTATCTCTCAAAGTCGCCTCTAAGCTACCCCCATACGCCACGTCACCACGCCCAATCACCGCCCCTCCCGCCACCACCAACTGCCCCCGTTTATTCACACTCAACTTATCCTCAAACTTCACGCCACCTGTCACCGCATCACCAAAGTGAGTCACCGAAAAACCTGCCGACGCTTTATTCTTTTTGAAATTCAAAAATCTAGTTTCGCTGCGGAGAGTGTAGGACATGTCTTTTCCGACTGTTTGCATGTCAAAAGCTAAAGTGGTTGACTTTGACTTTGAATTTGACTTTGACTTTCCGTGCTTGATTCCGGTTGAGATTTCCATTTGGAGATTCGCGTCTTTTTTATCTTTGGTGACCTGGCCGGAAAATGAAACCGGTATCTTTTCACGTAACGCGAGTAAGTGTTCGATATTGATTCCTTCATAACCGACATCGTGGTCCCACCCGTGCGGGTCAAGTACGGGTCGAACCAGCCATTGGTTAGCGGAATCAAGGGCCCGGTAACGGTGGGTGGGATTGTCCGCATCAAAGGACACCGGTAAGTTCATGTCCTGCACAGCAACGGGTACAGTTGCAGCACCGTTACTCTCGTCATCTTCTACTTCCGGAATGTTCTTGGCTTCTTCCATCATTTTCTTCATCATCTTTCTTCGTTTCTTTTCTTCTTTCAACTGTTTCTTCATGAAAAGCTTCTCACGATACTCCAACTCATCATAATACGCCTTCTTTTGCAACTTACTAAGTTTCGCCAGCTGTGCGTTAGTCAACCTTTTGAACGGCGGTAGCTCATCGTATTCCGATGACTCATCATCGGATTTCGCATCCACATCATCGTCATCATCCACGTCATCGTCCTCGTCATCACCAAACTGCTCATTCGGCAACTTCAACTGCGGTCTCGATTGTAACAAATTCGAGAGAATAAACGGTAAAGGCGGGGCCCGAGCTCTGGTTCCAAAAGGTTTGCCAGGTGGCGAGTCTTGTAGCTTTAACAACATATTCGCTTCAACCAAAATCTTGGAAGCAAACGAGAGTAACAACAAGTGAGGCTTCCAGACCTGCCCGTTGGGCAGGACCCGCTGCCCGGCTCGGTTTGTCCTACAAGCGGAGTGGTTTTCAACTAAGGAAACTGGGTTCATCAACCGCATATCACCAGCAGCTTGACGGATGGCTTGTTGGACCACGTGGGACCGCTGAGTCACAAACATGTCATAGCTGGTTGTGGTCCCGTTTGGGCCTTCGGGCGGGGCGGATGCAGCATGGGTCAGGACCACAATTGCATTGAACCAAATAGACTGCCCGAAAATATCGGTTATAGTTCTCAAAAGTGGCATATCACCAAAATCACGACTCTGCATATCTAACCTATCAAGATACAAAACAATATCCGGAGGTGATTTTTGGATGAATTTTTTAACCGATTGTAGAATTTTCTCATTCTTTCTTTGATCATTCCATGAAGGAAGCAACCCAGGTGTGTCAATAACCCTAACTTTAATCCCTTGAACAGTCCCAACAACATCTTGAACTTTTTTCGTTCCTAATTGAAACGCATCTGTGTTAAATTTAACTTCATCAAATATCGAATTAATGGTTGCACTTTTTCCGACTCCGGTTTTTCCAAGAACCATGATTGTGCATGAGAATTCAAGTGGTTCTTGACCGGTTGACTCAAGCTGTTCAGCCATGGCACTCGCGCGTTCAAAGCTGAAGGCTGCAACACGACCTCCGTTTCTGCCACGGAGTTGTTCGGCTAACCCTAACCGGTATAACACTTGGGCAACTACAACATTGTGAGGGGTCTGCCCGAGTCTTCGGGCAAGGCGTAGGAATTTGACCCGTATCATTTGGAGCTTTTCACGGGTGTCATCGTTTTCTTCGGGTTCACCTGTTGGTTCATCAATGACTTGGTTTTGAGGAGGGGGGGTGTTGCCATTTGGTTGAGATTGAACCACACGGTGTGCGGGTTCGAGTAGTGGTGCACCGTTGCCCAGACCCGCGGGTCGGGTCTGGGCAGGGGGTGGGGTCGGGGTGGTTGTTGGTTTGGAGCTGGGAATGGGAATGGGGGGTGGATTTGGTTTTGGATCAGGGTTGGGATTGGGAATAGAAGTAGGAGTGGTAGGTTTTTCTGTAGATAAATTCAACTCTGGTTCTTTCTTCAATGGTATATTTTGTTTCATATCATAATCTTTAGGTTCACTTTTTTCAGAAGGGTGTGGGGGACTTTCAACTTTGGGGCTCTCTACTTTGTTATCAGAAGTGCTTTCTTGTTGCAGGTTTTTATCATCCTGATGTACTGAAGATGGATCAAAACTTTTTTGTTCCCCTTCTTGAAGTTGTTCGACGTTTAGTTCGTTTTGTATATTCAGTAAATTATTTCTTGAACTTTCAACCTTCTCCTTCTGATTCATACTGTCATCATCTTTGCCTTCAGTAACTAAAGTCTCTTTTTCATGAAGTTGACTTGGAACGTCTCCGTTGACTTCAACTCTTATCTCATCATCTGGCTGTGTTGTGTGACTCATAGAATCTCCATCAGCACAATCTTCATGAAGGACATTTTCATCCAAATCAACATTGTTTGAAACTCCATTTTCAGGATTTCCTAAAATTACATCAACTGGTTTTGTGTCATGAATATCTTCCAAAGTCTCCATCTGGCTTTCGTTGTCATCTGCAATGGATACCTTTGTGACCTCATTTACCCCATTGTCTACAACCTCATTATTTTCCAACACATTTGGCTCATCTTTGCTTACATCAGTCACAACCACTGTTTCCACCTCTTCTTTTCCATCAACCACTGACACCTCAGTTTCCAAGTCACTTGATTGATCCCTTGCAGCATTATCAGAAGCATTTTCTCCCAAATCTGCCTCACTATTACCATCATTCACAGCCTCATTAGCTTCCAATTCACTAAGATGATCGCTGAAAATGCTAGCAGATACATTTTTCTCATCTGTAACCTCTTCCAAATTAATCCCTTTTCCCTCATGTTCATCACTATCCACAGGCATATCATGTTCTATCACCTGCATGCATCACCAATTGATGGAATACATACAACTTAATCTTTTTCAATCAAAAATAAGCAAATAACTCAGATAAGGTTTACCTTCGTTGATATAACCTCCTCAACAGGATCAACATGAGCCTTTTCCACAACCGTCTGCGTTTCACAGGGAGTCTGAATTGCATCTTCAATCGTGTCTACTATCCTTTGCCCAGCATCCACGTCCCCATCTAACACTAGAGAATCACACAAATCCCCACCATTTTCATCACTTCCATCTTTTCTAAGAGTTTCTTCCGCCTCTACTGTTTCAGATACACTTTCAACACCACCATTTGCCTCCTCGAGAGCATCATCAATTCCGATACCCTTCATCCCATCTCCCAAAACATCTTTATCAAATTCCCCTACTTTTAACTTTACTTCTTCAACCTTAGTCACGCCATTTTCCATCGAAAACACCAAAAATCTATCCTGCAAACCCGGATCCCTAAAAAACACGTAAATGAAAAACCCTAAATTAGCGAAAAGAAACAACCGCCCACAAATTTTCAATTGAAGAACAAGAGTAATACAATCAAAGGAAGTCAAGCAATCAATTTAGACATCAAAGAGATCTATATTCAACAAATCCACACCAATTTCAACCATGAACATGAATTCTAGATACAAACTAGGGTTTTACGAAACAAACAGATAGATAATCAAAGATATATAGACAGAAAGGGATAAAAGACAATACCTGAACGTATAGATTGACGTTGAGGATAAGAAAAGGTGGGTGTTGTTCGAGGAGAAAGGGGAAAGAGCAAAAAGGAGAGAAATCTCAGAATTGTGTATCACACTCCCCGTTCGAGCTAAATAAGATATATATGTATATCTACGCGCACACCTAACCAGTTTTGTTTCGAGAGAGGGATTGTGAGATCGTACGGTTGAGAATGACTTATCAGAGTAATCGTTGGTGAGGGGCGATTCACGGTGACGCCATTGGTGAGAGAGTAGGTTTTATCTTAACCTTTTTTTTTTAGTTTTTACCATTGGTAAAATTAGTAAACTATATTTATGATATATGTCATAAAAATAGATTCGTTGCTAATTCGTTCAGCGGCTTCCGCCTATTCAATGCCTACTTTGTGATTTCTTTTAGACTAAAATCATAAAAGAAAGGGATAATGATTTAAAAAGGTAAGATCTCATTTGATAGTTTCTGTCTGGGAAAGTGTTGTCTGGTAAAGTGCTGTCTGCAAAAGTTTTCTGACTGGGAAAGAAACCATGTTGTTTGATTGTACATCTGATTGATTGTGCTGAATGATGAAAAAAAGTAATAATTCAATAAAACAATAGATTTAAAAAAGTTATTTAAAAAAATTAATAATCCAATAAAGAAAGAAAGAGGCGGGGTTTGGTGTATAATTGTATTTCCAGCTCATTCAGCCAGAAAGATATGATTTTGGGGCTTTCTGGGAAAGACATATCTTACCGGGAAAGACCCCTTCTTTTGTGCAAATCAAACAGTCTTTCCGGTCCATTCAGCCAGAAAGATCTGTTTGGACCTAAAAAGATGCGTATCAAACGGGGCCTAATTTATTTCTGGATTTTTACAAATTTAGTCATTGAGTTTTTTTTTGTCTATATTTTCTCATTGAACTTGTTGAACTGTTCAAAAAGCATCCTTATGACTTACTATCAGAGGTATAGCCGGTTTCCGGCGTCTTTGACAACTCCGGCGATGCACTGTTCATCTTCTCCGGCGAAACATTATTTTTCCGGCGACAAGTAAAAACCCATTTTTTTTCCTGAAATCACACACATGAAATTATGGATTCGTGTTTATCTAATACATATACAGATTTGTAAAACAAGTCCATCCATGACAGATCTAGCAAAACACAAAATCAATGTAATGATTTTTAATTTCTGAAAACAGGGGTTGCAATTTCTGATCTAACACACACACACACAAACTTGAATCTGAAGAAGTTGTCAAGAACACGATGAACAAACCTTAATGAACCAGACAAAGATTTGAAGAACATCATGAACAAACTCATCAGAAAAAGCCTAGATTTCGAGTTTATATATGAAGAACCCACCTGAAAGTCGAATTCTTTCCAGATTATGCTCACAAACTCAGCCCTTCAGGTAAGTTATTTTTCAGAAATCGATTTTTTTTTTTAAAAAAAAAACCCACCTGAAACCCTAGATTTCGAGTTCACTTTCAGATGTGGAAATCGATTTAGTAGTTTTTAAATTCTAACATAGATGAAAATGAATACACATACACACGATGAACACACATACACATACCTTTGATCTGTTTAAACACGAACTCGAGGGTTTTCATGACGGGTTTTGAGCACATATCTTGAAAATCGATTTCTGGGTTTGAGTGTGTTCAAGAACTCGTCATACCTTCAAGCTCGATTTGAGTGTGTTCATCTTCAAGGAACTCAAAACACACCAAATCGATTTCTTCTTTGTTCTTGGAAATCGATTTTTGGGTTTGAAAACCCCAACTCGACTTAAGGTTGTTCTTGAGTTCGATTTTTGGTCTTTGTGTTTCTGGAAAACACACACAAAACAATAAGTATGGTTTTATGTTTGTGTTGAAGATCATGTGTGTGTTCATCTGACCTAGTGTTCTTGAGTTTGAAGAAACAACTAATATGGGGTTCTTGTGTTAATCTGATATGGGGTTTTTGTGTTTATCTAATTCAAAATGATATTTGAAGAAATAACTTACAAAAAAATATGCAGATGAAGAATGACTTAAAGGGAGAAAATGAGTTTTCACTTGTAGCCGAAAAAATAATATTTCGCCGGAGAAGATGAACGGAGCATCTCCGGAGTTGTCAGATATGCCGGAAACCGGCTATACCTCCTATAGCGGGTCATAAGGGTATTTTTTAAACGGTTCAAAAAGTTCAATGGGAAAATATGAACAAAAAAAACTCAGTGACTAAATTTGTACAAATCAAAAAATAAGTTACCCTTTTAAGTCATTATCCCTAAAAGAAATTAAGTTTAAATAAAATTAAATTTCGATTTTGATAGCATGTTTTTTTTATAATTATGATATTAAGTTTTCAAAAAGTAGTAATTTTGACACTATATCTTCCGATTTCTTTCAATTTTGATCATTTGACCGGTCAACCCAGTTGTCAACTAAAATGACACAGTGACGTATCGGTCTTTGATGACGAGACACTGACATGTGATGATGATGTGACATTTTTTATAATATCACTTTTTTGGATATAAAAGTTGAAAAATAAAATAAAATGTAGTGACTAAATTGAAAAAGAAACACAATGTTAAAATTGAACTTTTCTAAAAATTAAGTGTCTTTTGTTTAATTTGTTCTTAGACTTGTTGGAAGGTCGGAAACATTTTGTGGAAAGCTTATGGAGTAAGACAACATAACAAAATTAACATCTACAAAAGCATTGTTATAATCTCATTGTGGTTAGTTTGCATTCCAATCTTCATCTCCTGGATTTTCCTCGACAAATCCATTATCCATGATCATTTTATCTCCCATGAAACACGTAAACACTTTATCTACCTTATTACATATATGTTTCCCGATGCAATTGCCAAGCCTCTAATCAAATTGCTCCAATTACGGAGACGGACTATGTCATTGTTCATAAGCTCATCATTTATTTTTATGTTTCCATGTCTCTTTTTGCTAGGGTTTGATCTTCAAGTTGAAGATGGGTAGCGTTGGTGTTGTTACAGCGTTTAATTTGTCAAAATGGATATATTTGATGTTGATTGTGTTTTATTTCAAATTTGCATCGTTGTGTAAGAATGTTAGGGTGAGTTTCTCCATAGGGCACTTGCAGTTATGAACGAGTTATTCTGGTTTTTTGTCCATCAGTTGTCTAGGTTTGGTAATCGCAATCTTTTCAAAATAAAAAGTCATGATTATTCGTCCATATAGATTTATGATAGCAACTAATGCCTAGATTTTGCAGCCTCAAATGGTGGCCACTAGAACTTCTTGTCTTAATATTCGGTTTGTTATAAAATTTGCAACTCAAAACAACACTTTTTCCATACAACCTTTCATTTCGTCCACTAAGTTTAGGGTATTCACAATGCATTAAGTTCTTTAGAGTTTAATAGATAGACACGTGGAATATAATGTATTGAATTCGTTTTGTCCACTAACTTTAGGGCATCCCACATTAGCATGAAGGATGTGGGAGATTGTAATGCAAACTAATTATGACACTGCATGTGTAGACGCTAATTTAATTATGTTGTTTTGCTCCAAAAGCTTGCCTACAAAAGGTTTCCAACCCTCCAACAAGTCTTGATTATTATGTTATAATAAGGACAAATTTCACAAAATACACTAGGTTTTTAGAAAATTTTGGTTTTGATATTTTGTTTCTTTTTCAATTATGTCACTACATTTTATTTATTTTTCAAATTTAACACCTAGAAGGTAATGTCACCAAAAAATGTCACGTCATCATCTTACGTCAGCGTCACGTCATCAAAGACTAACACCTCAGTTAGCAACTGGGTTGACCGGTCAAATGGTCAACATTGAAACAAATTAAAAAACAAAATGTCAAACATACTATTATTCGAAAACTTAATGTCTTAATTATAAAAAAAAAAATAACACATAGACAAATTCGAAATTTTATACAAACTTAGTACATTTTATGCAATTAACCCTTTCTTTTATTGCTAAGGTTTATACAATTTGTAAAATAAATCGATAAGACCAATCAAATTTAATATATAAAACTTTTGGTTTACAATACTTAATATCTTTTGCAAACTATAATTAGCTTATAAACTATTTTAGTTTTTAAGTTATTTTATATTGTCAAAGTTGACAAAGTGAAAAATATCACGCCAATAATCACAATCAGCATGGTTATCAATTATCACAAGAAACGGGACAAAATGATTAAATCAAAATGTTGTTACCAAATTTAGGATTTAATGACAAAAGGATTTCGGCAAAACCAAAAACCATTTAAGGACATTTTATATAATTGTACTAATATCTTATAATAACATTTAAAATGAAGAATAAAAGATTAAACTTAAATTAAACTAAAACAAGTACATCGGTCATCAAGCTAATGCAAAAGCAATGGTTGGGTGCTAACGAGATTATGTTACCCTAACGTTCAAACATGTTATGGGTATTGTAAATAGGTGTCCATTGTCATAACTAATTGGTATAACATTGGGGATAATAATAAAGTCCTTTTAGAGTTGCCCACAAAAGCTACAATAGCTAAAAAATGATTTAAGAAAGTGAGATAAATAGTTTATTAGTTTATTATAGCTTGATAAATTAATTAGAAACCTATTGAAATTAATTTAGAATTAATTTGAATTAATTTGGAGTTAATTTGAATTAATTAGAATTAATTAGAAAATTATTTAAATTTATATGGACTGAATATTAATTGTTCAATAGTTTAGCAACTTGAATATTCCATAATCCCCAATAGGGTGGACGATTTTGAGAAGGGATAAAATCCTTCTAGAATTCGTCCATAGCTGCCGATAAGGCAGAGATTTGAATTAGGATTAAATCTCATTATTTAATTAATTGAAATTTGTTTTCTCTGCAAGTTTGTTCGACTATAAATAGACCATGTATGCATTCATTAATTTCATTCATTCTTTAAAGGCATACTACTTTGGGTGCTAGATCTTCCAAAAGCATCAAGGAACTCGAAATGTACAAGTAATCAAGAAGCAAATCCTATTTGGCTTAAATGTTAGTAATCTTATCTCTCTTTGTATTATTATTTAGTAGTTTTGAAAGTAGGTTGTTATAACTAGTAAATCTAGATCCTACGGTGCATGTGTACTTAGGGTTACTTTAATTGCTTATGTTGCCTAAAATCCGTGTATAGATGCATAGAAAACCCTTTAGTGGTACCAGAGTCGTTTGTGATTAACTGATACATAAATTTGAGACGTGAGAAGAAGATGATGTGGTACGTTTGGTTATGGTTTGTTGGCGGAGCATGTGTGGTTACGTTTGGTTATGGTTTGTTGGCGGAGCATGTGTGGTTAACTAACACGTCAATTAGAGAACCATGACATAATCAAGGGGTCACGTGTTTTTGCATGGTTAGTTCACCATCTTATTCGTGAGACATCGGTATCCCATGCACAAATAGAGGATGTGCAAATCCAAAATTAACATGTCATTGAATAGTTTCATAAATATTAAAATTGGTAAAGTGTATTACCTACCTAAAATAAATATGCGATATGATTTTGGTATCCATATTCATAAAACGAATCTAAAATATGGATCTTAGCTATAAAATAAATTAGGTAGTTATTTAAGGATTAAAAATAAACTAACTAAACTGAATTACTCTTTTTAGATTTCTGGTATCAATGGACTTCCTCTCCCACCTCCTCCACATACCAATTCAAACTTCTCCCTTATCTTTGTTCTCCAAATAGAGAAGCTCACTGGCGGGGCTAATGATCTTGATTTGATGTGAAACGTTAGGATTACATTGAGGTATGACAATCGTGAATACATGCTCGATGACCCTATTCCTGAAATCGATGAGTCCTCTGATGACGAAGAAAAATTTTCCCACGCCAAACACGTTGATAACTCAAATAAGGTGTCGTGCATCATGATTGTCGCCATGTCCTCAGATCTCCAAAAGACTTTCAAGAACTCTTGGGAGTATGATTTGAGGTTTTCAAATCCACAATTTCATGCAAACTC